CATCTTTCTTTAGAAGATGTTTGGCTTGGGCATGAAGTAAAAGCATTTAGATTATCTCAAAGGTTTTGGAAAATGTAAGGTGTTTGGTTACCCCCATCTGTATCTGGTAGTTGGTCATGCTCTTCAGTATTTCAGGACAAGAGACTGAATGTTCAATGATACCTAAAGTGAGGCAAATTTTGGTTGGAATAGACTTTGACTTGCTTTCTCACAGGCTTGTTTTCCTGATGGTAGTTTCTGGAACTTTGCCTTCCTGGAAAGCTGTTCCCTGTGGCTTTCATCTCATCACAAGCTTTCTCTCCCATCTGGCATTCTCAGGAGCTAAGCCAGCTTTCTGCCTCGTCTCACTACTCCCACTCAGAAGAATTTTCAGAGCACGGTAGAGTTGCGCATACAATTGCGAGGGGGTCCTTTTTCTTAACCTAGGAGAGCACTGTAGAGATTTTCCAGTCTTTTTGTGTGGGTACAAATGCTTTGCACAGTCTGGTTGACAGGTCCAGTGTGGCCGCTTAGGGAAGTGGAGAAGGTGGCTGTTTAATCTGGTTTTGCATTTGAGTTCAAGTGGCAAAAAACCTGGAAGACTCTTCATTTGCCACACAGCTACTGGCTTCCAGGAGTAAGAAACACATCATGGCTGGTGAAAGAAAGGTTCACCTGTCTGAAGTCTCAGAATAAATCCTTGTTTGTTGGTGACAACTGGCAAAAGCCTGCTGGATGACATAATGAATGGAGAATTAGAGGTCTCTGTGAATTTGCCCTTAGAACAGGGTGACTTGTAGAGAGGAGAACAGAGCGGCAGATGGGGGAGAAGAGTCAAATCTGTTGAGGGGTTTTGGTATAGGGGCATTAGACTAGAGGCAGCTGCTGGTTTCATCCATAACTGTGCTGCACATGGCAATGTTATTTGAAGATCTAATGTAAGCATGTTTGAATAAAACCATGCAGCATTTACTCTTGCCTTGGCATTTAGCACTCAAACTTGTTGCCTATCAGTTTGAAATAAGTTATGTGCTAAAGGCTTGTACAGTAACAGCAGGATCAGGGTGTGTATCAGGCTAACCAAAAGGTGCATTCTGATGGCTCTTGCCAAACTTGGTCTTTCACTGAGGTAAACCAAGGCATGGCCATTTGGCATGATCGCCACCTGGATCTGGAGTGTTTTTTCACCCCATATGTGAAGAGTCTTTGTGCTCAAATCTACAATGGAGCAAGACTGTAGGAGAAGGATTACAAACAGATTTCAGTTGACAAGGCTTGACATGAACATCTGCACATTGATCTCACTGCACTACTTAGTAGAAGAGTCATATTTCTTTGCCATGGGTCTAAGTATTTAATGATATTGTTTGTTCACTGCTTATTTCATCAATCTGAAGAGAAGAAGAGCATAATATGGACCCAAATTTCTCCATGCAAGACTGGTGTGGGTAATGTTCACTGTCTAACTGATACTCATTCTACTGCTTTACTGTCTTTTATAAAAATAAAAATGTTTCTTAGTGCAAAATAGCAAAATGACTGTTTCTGTGACCAACATTTTTACTTTCTAGGATTTTTGGTTTCATGATTGATTACAGTTCATTTTTTCTTTGATAATGAAGTTACTATTAACATATCTGTATATACAAAATAAGAGAATATTAAAATTGGGTTATTGAGATTCATATTCTTAATTTTTAATTTATTTAATTTTTGTATTCTTCACATAAAAGTTAGTCCCTGATTTAGACTGTGACAGGATATATTGACAGACACCCACAGGAAACTATTAATACAGATTTTTTTTCCCTTGTGGCTCTTTCTCAGTCATGCCTTCTTAAAATAGGGGGAGAAAGTAATAACATGGATTAGTATCTGTGGCATAAGGATCTAGTGGAAGTTTTTCTTCTCAAGATGCAGTGTGGAGATAAGAAAGGAAGTGGGATGTCAAGCTGGAAGCTTCAGGATCTGATTCAGACAGAGAGTATGTAAGTTACTAATTCCAGTGTTTGACTATTTCAATTCATCAATTGAATTGAAATATTTCAATTTCATCACTGACACAAGAGAAACAGCAAAACTAGAATTATGGGTGAAAGAATTCATATTGTGTAATGTATGTCCACTGAATTGAAGCTACAAAGTTTACTCTTCAAAGCAAGAATGCAGTAAAGAATATTGGGTTGCACTACTTCAGTGTAAACAAAAGATGTCACTATCAGACACAAAAAGCACTGAGGTAATTAAAGTTAATTCTGAAACTATTCAGATGTTACCATTAAGCTTTAATAGTGGTTATTTTTAGTTTCTTTCTTTCTACAAAGGAAACCACTGAAGACACTCTGTGAAACTACTTCATCTGTAAAAAACCAAAACCCCTACCCCAAATTCTGTTTTAAAATGTTCCTGTTTTAATAGGAATGTTAATAGAAATGCTTCCAAGTTCCTGTAAATGCCCCCACGTTTCACACATCTACCACGTGAAGCTGTTCTTAACCCCAGAGAAGATTCGACTGAATCATTAAACCAAAATGAAAGAAGAAGAATATGGAGAATAGAAAGTGTGTGAATTGTGAGGACAGACAGTATAAAGTGGAACAAAAGGGGAAGTTTCAAAGTAGTAGATATTAGAGAAAAAATTACACTAAATGAAGAGATTTTCTTCTGTCCTCATCCATATTTCAATGAGGTTAAACTAAATGCAGTAGGACAATATCTGGTGCAGCATGGATCTCAATTTTCATGATCCCACAGATATCAAAATCCTATTGATTCTTCAAAAGTAGGACTGGATTCATGTGTTGTAATCAGGCTAAGCAACAGGGCAGTATTTTCACAAAAGGAGCATCATTAGCAACAAAAATAGACCTGCAGACACAGCCAGACCCCTTCCAAACTCAGTTGGTCTGACGTATCCTGCTCTCTTGTTCTGAGTTACTTCCTCCGGAAATATCTTGGGCTGGATATGAAAGTTGTTACATGGGCCAACTGTCTCTGTTCCAGCTTTCCTGAAGGTTTAATCTCTCCTCTCTGCTTCTCAAGTGTGATAAAGCTGAATGTGGTCCTCAGGTTGTCCTCAGCCTGTATTGAGGTTGAGCTCCCAGGGGTCCAGGCCATTTTCTCAAAACCCATATTAGGCAGAAATGCCATATCTGCATGCATGATCCTCTTTATCCCTGCTTCCACTTCTGACTGTGCATCCTCTGCTAGGCTATCGAGATTCTTGTAATTATTTTTCAGTCTTTGCTTTTTGTGTTGGTTTTTTTCCCTTCTTTCTGAGGGGTGAGCCCAAGATTCAGGGAGGAGGAAGTTCATGGGAAGAAAAAATTGTCCCTCTGTTAAGTCTCTTGGGGAATCTTTTCGATACTCAGTACAACTGGAGACTTGCATTTATTTTTCTGTGAGTCCTGTCTCTTTTGGGGAACTTCCCCATTTAGGGGGAAATCCACATTCAGCCACAGCTGGGGGAGTCCCAGGCAGCTGGACAAGAGGTGAGAGGGGTGTAAAGGACCTAGAAATTGCTTCAGAGAAACTAAGGCATCTCTCTGGGCAATCTTCAGTGCACACCAGTAGATGTAACTGAACTTGAAAGACCTCTAGACTTGAGTCCTAAGCCTACTAGTTGTCTCATGGTGAAACAATCTGGATATCTTGATCCCACTCCCTGGAAATAATGAGTTTGGAAAGTTGATGAAAGCTTGTGGAAAGTGATGGGAACTTTTGCCTCACAAAGCAGTGGGAAAAAGCTGAGTGAACATGTTGAGATTTCATCAGATGAAAGAAGAGGAGAGGAGGCCTCTGATATTTGCAGAATTAAAAAATAAAGCTTAGTAGGGATGTAGGAATTTCATGTACCAGATCAGGTTACAGACTGGTGAGACATTATGCAGGGAAGATATCTGTGTCAATACACGGGCAGGGACACTGTGATAGGAACCGGGCTCTGTAGATCAGCTGTTTGTGAATATATCTAGAAATCAAACCTATTATTCCGTATTTATTTCCAGGTCTGCTAATGACTAGAGATCATTGGGTCAAGTTAACTGTGGACATTATCCCATGCTATTTTTAGGGTGAAAATTTATATAAAACTTTGTCTTCATTTAAACAGCTTGTTCTGTGAGAACAACTCAGAAAAAGAATTTTCAACCTATCCAAACCAAAGGAAGTTTTTCTATTTCTTCCATAGCATCTTTAGACCAAAATATAATTTTCCAGCTGTATGATAATGAAAATGTTAGTGGTTTGAACTTACTATAGATGAAGGACTAGAAAAAGCACAGTGCTGTTTTTTTCCCATCTTAAAAAAACTATAAGGTAGATGACAGCAGAAGACGTATTAAGAAATAATCAAATGTTGATAAAAATGTTGATCAATTTTGGATCCTGTAAGAACTTCCTGGAAAGGTGAAAAGCACAGCTTTCTTTCATTTTCTTTACCTTGGCACTTCCTTAAATTAGGTATGTCACTCAGCAGAGTGTAGTATTACATTAAATAAATCATGCCATGCAGCATTTAATGAAAGCAAACTCATTAAATTCAGAAAAAAATCTAAAAGTCAAACTTCTTAAAAAGTTTTCATAATATGCAGAATTTCCATTTCCTTAAGCTATTTCTATCATTGCCACTTTTTCCCAATTTTTTTACATATGCTTCTGTATAGTAAAGTGGTTACATGGTATATTTATAAATGTTCTTTAGTTGCCAATTCACATTTTTTATTTTCCGGCAATTTTAGGATATCCCTCTCTAGCAGTTTTTTCCAATTACACTGTTATAAAATTTCATATATAGATCAAGAATCTTCACTGTTCAAATAAATCCTTATATGCAAAAAGCATTTATTTTTCTGCTCATATATATTCTGATAGTGGCATATGTAGACATTATCCTGCAACGTATTGGATGCTGATTTTTTAAAAAAGGTATTATAAAATAAATCTGCTCAAGTATAAGTGTTAGGGAGCTCATCAGAGTTCTTAATTTGTACTGTATTTATTAATTGTTTATTGATTCCCAGGGTTTCCAGACTGAGGATACATGTTCTCTGGAGTCATTTTACTAGACTGTGGTGAAATATGGGATGCATCTGCTCTAGTATGTAAATAAGATTAAACTAAATAACCTGATACACAATTATTTGCGATGTGCAAGAATTTCTAAGTCTTGCCTAGAGTACTTCAGAAGAAAATTTTATTTAGGAAATGTGTAATTTACAGGAGGATTATGTTATGTTATGTTATGTTATGTTATGTTATGTTATGTTATGTTATGTTATGTTATGTTATGTTATGTTATGTTATATTTAGGAACTCTGTACAGAACCATACAATAATACAAGGACAAGACATTATTAATTTGCATATATTTCTATTAAAATTAAATTTTTTACTCAGGAACCATAAACACCTTTGCTGTCAAGGTGGTTCTCTCCTCTTGAAGTTTATAATCTAAGAGTAACCCAAAAACATAACAGTAGAACACAGTCTAGTAAGGAAGATGGAACTTAAATTATCTCACTGTTAGCGTAATTAGGACTCACATTTGTTGTAATGGAGCATTTTACACGGAAACATGAGGGTACACATCAGCATGATAAAAGATAAAAGCATAGGTATAGATCTCAAAATGTGACAGGTGCAACAAGATATTTGAAAGGACCTCTCATACTCAGCATTTCAATAGGAAACATGCAGTCACTAGATTCGGGTCTAGACAGACAAACAGAAAACTGCTTGGGTTAAATTTCACATAATATAAAAAAGCAAGGATAAGAGATGTCTCAACAAAAACGAGATTAAAAAATCTTAATTGTAGAAAGTTTGTCTTTGCTGAAACACTTGGATGGTGCAAGACTGTGTTGCCAAAGCTAGGAAAAGCAATTATTGGGGGGGAACAATTAACCATATTAAGCTTCCACTGATGATTATACAAAACCAGAGTGAGCGGCCCAGAAAGACAGGCTGAGCTGTTAGCCTGGCTAAAATGATTCATGCCTAGAATGGAAATGTGGATCTCTAAGTGATGAGTATGAAGTTGTTAAGTGAACCAGGAGAGTGATTATTCAGAGGTAAAGGACAGGAGAAGGGAATAAAACTCAGGATTTGGTAGAATACCCCATCCTCCTTGTAGTGCAGAATGTGTAGTGTAGAATGAAGATGCCTCCAAAGAGCTTTGTGAGCTGTTATACAGGATAGAGAAAAATCAGGAGAGAACAGAGACCCTAAAGCAAATGAGTGTGAAATTTTCAGAAATGATGTAGTTATGCCAAGAGCAACCAGCAGACCAAGAATGGGGAGTCTGCAGTGCTGGAACTGTAAGCGCAGTAAAGAAGTCACTATACACTATCATGGAAACAGTTTAGTTGAACTCAACTGCCAGGAACTGAACTAGTGGAGGCCTAAGATGTAATTTAAAAAGCCATCTCTAGGCAGTGTGCTTACAGGTGCCATGTGCAACATACCTGGAGTATCCAAAACCATCAGTTAGGTGCATTTGCTGAGTAGAGACCATGTTACAAAATAATCCTAAAAGAACGAGCTCTTCCATGTTTGAAGTATCAAGCCTGCAAGAAATAGCTGTATTTAGTTAAGGGAGAACACTGATAGTGTAGGATGAATTAGTTGAAAGAAATTAAAATGTAGTAAGGAAGTAAAACTGAGTGGATGGTTTGGAAAAAAACAAATCCCACCCAGCATGAAAACCTCACCAATGCAATGTAAACTAATCAAAACAAACCCAAACTAATAATGGTACATAGTGGGGAAAAAAAAAAAAAAGAAAAAAGAAAAATAACACTGCTGTTGGAAAGTAACAACTAGAAATAACTGATAGAGTTTGGAAAATATACATTTTTAAAATCAACAGGAAAAGTTTTGTGTACATTGCACTGATTTCAAAGAGAAAAATATGCTGCTCACATTTCTGTCAATGTCCTGTATGTGAATATTGGCAATGTGTATGTGAATTTTAAGCATTTTTCCTTATTGATAGAAATTGTATTTATCTGCTTCCTAATGAATCCTATTCCAACAGAAATGAAAGCAAAAAATCTGTAGAAGTAGCAGAATTAAGAATAGAATATAATCAAGGTTATTTGTATTGGGAGGAGAAACAGGCAGACAAGAAAAGCTTGTCTGCAAAAGAGACCAGGAACTGGAATAGGAAAGGATCATGATGGCAAGACAAGATGTTAAATGAGGAAAGCAGATAAAAAAATTGATACTTGTGAGGTGAGAAGAAGGAGAAAGCCAAAGAAAAGGCATGAAAAGGGAGGAGGAAAATCACAGTGTATTTAACCAGTTATCACTGGAAAGAAACTGATGGTTTCTGGTATGATTTAGTACATGTTCTTTGACATCCTGAAAGTTCTTAGCCAGAAAAGAGACCCATTATATTACACACTAAATAGCTGTAAGGACTAATTTTAATGGTTTTTCCTGCTGGGCCTTTTTTGTGTGAAATAAATTTATTTTCCCAAGTATCTTCTTTCTGATCCCAAATCCAAGCTCTAACTTTACATCTGCCTTTTTCTTTTATTAATATTTTTTTCATGTGAGAAAGATGGTTAAAAGCATTTACTTTGTTCTGGATTATTTGTTTACTCTTCAACTGTCGCTTTATGAACCTACGCTCTTGTATTAGAAAGTTCTTCTGCTGACCACTACTGAATGAGTGATATTTCTACACAGAAACATAGGGAAGCTACCTTTCATGTTTTCTTTCTAAAATGGTATCAAGAAGCTGCTTTCACTATAGGTTCAGTTTTTTTCATACCTGTTAATTTTGTCTTCATTGCCTGTGGCGGAAGATAATTTTGTTTTCTTCCTTATTCAGACTAAAAGTCTTCTGGAAATCACCAGATTTGTTTGAATGTGGTCTGCATCTGAGATACAGAGGTAACATTTTAGGTCTAGCTTCACAATAGAAGGCTAAAGGGATAGATCTGAATGGTGAAATGAAACTTGGGAGTACTTGGAACATTGCAAGACAACAAACCAAAATAAAATATTTTAGGTTCTTATTGGAATGCACCCAAAACTAGCAAAATGTTTCAGTCAGGAGAAAAGGGTGAGAAAGGCTTTGGGAAGTTCCTGCAAAAGCTGAGATTTGATTAAACCTAATCTTGAAGTTCCCCCACCCACATATGTCACCTGATATTCAAAAATACTCTCATAAAACAGAAACTGTATGGAAGATTTTAGTTTCAGCTGCATTTCCTAGCCTAACTTACAGGGCCAAGATGAAATTACAGAAGTTACTCTCACTGATTTTCTTAGAAAGTGGAATCTCTTCTGAAAGGCTGCAGCGTAAGAAAAGATGCATTTTTTTAAAAGGCTGCCCTTTAAAAACTGAAGCAGTACAACCTGATGGTGGTGTTTTGTTGTTTGGGGTATTTTTGGGGGGGCTTTTTGTTTTGTTTTGTTTTTAATTACTGTTTAAATCTCTCCACTCATTCAAAAGAGTGGATATCCAGTTATTCATTGGAAATATATTTTAAAATATATTCCTTGCTGGAAAGATGTTAAAATTGTCATACCCAGAAGAAGTTTAAGAGGGTGGAAACAATGTTATCCCTATTTTTCTGAAGTGCAGCTTTTAGCTTTTGGTTATGTTTTCCCTTTAGACTTTAATAGGCAAATAGGTACGAAAGGCAGATTTATATAAAGAACTCTGCTTTCAAAATGTAAATTAGATGTCTCAAAGTCTTCATGTATTTCAACTGAAGCTCTGCTAATTCATATGAAGCTCTGCACTGTGGATTTACTGAAATGCAGGAAACAACACCAAGTGTTATGAATCTTAAATTCACTATCTTTGCAACCACCCTTCCTATTATCTAATAATAAAGATATGACCTGAGAACTAGAAGGAGAGCTAAGACCATGGTATTAATCTTAATTTTAGTTTTTAGAAATTACCTTTTTAAAAAATTGTCCAACAAGAATAAGTCTTTTAACAAAAGAAAAAACCAAATGGAAAGCAAAAAAAAAATTGTGGAACTGTAGAGTATCTCAGATGACTCACCAAAATGCAGGAAAAAATGCAACCAAATAACCCCCACATAATGTTGTACAGAAGTAGACGTAATACTAATATGAAGCTCACATCTCTGGAGCCCTATCCTTCCTCATTACTGAAAGGGAGGGATGAGTGTAAGATTTGATGTACAAATAAACGGCAATGTTTAGAGACAGTTTGAATATGAAGTCTTAAAAAGCTGGATAAGAAAAAGATGGTAGCTAACAGTGAGACTGAACTTGAGGATTTTGAAAGAAAGGCTTGAAGTTCTGTCTGTGCTGTCTTTAAACTGATGGCTAGACACCATGAGAAAATATTGGAACAAGGCATTTATTAGGGAAAAAACAATTGTGAAAGGCCAAGGCTAGCAGGGGAGAGCTACAATAGCTGCATTTTTATGTGAGATCTCCCATAACAGTGGGTGGTACATGGGAAGAAGAAGCAGAATCATCGAGTCCAAGACTTAATTGAAGTTGGAAAGGATCTCTGGAGGTCACGTAGTCCAAGTTCCTGCTCAAAACAGGGAGCATGTCACAGACAGATCAGGTTGCTCAGGCCTTGCCCAGCTGGATTTTGGCTGCACACAATCTCTCTGGGCACCTGTTTTGAGTGTTTAACCAGCCTCCCTGTGACCAGGCATGAAACTCTAGAAGACTGTATAAGATGTTGGAGAATGGTACAATCATTAATTTTAAAAGGATGATTTCAGCATTAGGAAAAAGTGCCAGAAATTGTCAGTGAATGAGGTTTGAGAAATGGCAGGTCAAAAGCAGTTTTGTATAAGCCCTTGAAGTATGGAACAGAAAGAATTGAGACCTTTCTAAAAGGCTCCTATGAGCACCAGGAATAAGAAAACTCAAAATTTATTTTCATTGGTAATTGATTAATTGGTTAATTCTTATGTGATTTTGCAGATGTTATCCTTTCAATGGTTGACCTATCCACATTTCTAGACCAGGTTTCTGTCGCCATTTGTCTAATATGTTCATGGTCAGATACCTTTCCCAATGTTTAAAATATTCTGGGGAAGCAGAGACAGAATTAAAAAGAAAGATTTAATTAGCCAAATGCTTTCA